CTAGCAAGTCTTAAACTTAGAGTGAGGGTTAAGAAATCCTTTGCCAGGTGACATCTGACTTTATAAATACCAAACAGCAATGGCATGACTTACACAAAGCTCTAAAGGAATCCCAGCTTGCTGTGCATGTACCTGAGTATTAATTGATTTTGCCTTTATTATTAACTAGAGGCCTGGTGCACGACATTCATCCATGGGGAGAGAGGGTCCCTCCTCAGCCTGGCCTGCCCCCTCTCAGGGAGTGGGCCTAAGCCAGCAGGTAGACATCCTCCAAGGGGTCCTTAATGCTGCCACGGAGGTGGGAGAGGCTGCTACCACCACCGCTGTACTCGCCAGCCATGAGCCTGGCTTCTGGAGGAGTGGCACTCCCCCTGTGGAAGTGCACTGACCACCAGAGGGCAGCTCCTGCATTGAGCGTCTACTCCCTGGTGGTCAGTGTGTGTCACAGCGACTGGTCATTCCGCCGTTCAGTCTATTTGCATATTAGCCTTTTATTATATAGGATGAACATATGATTTGGTCTGGTTGAGCTTCAAATTCAAATTGGGTAGTAAAATACTAAGACAGGAGAATCAAAATGTGTTTAAATAGCTGTCCTCCCCCACCCAAGGTGCCTGGGCCTTGGCTGTGAGTGAGGATGAACTATTATTATGAGCGTTGAGACAAGTAGAATGAAGAGTTCTCCTTGAATTAAGAAGATTGACTATATTTCAAATAATAATAACTATATAGTAGTTTCAACCAGAGTACTTGATATTACTAATATGAATTTTATTCCTGTATTTATACTCCCCTTTTTGTGATTACCTCTATATTTGATAACTTAAATAGCCTTAAGATTTGTACTCCTGGGTGTGTTTTTTTTTTTTTTTTAGGATTTAAAGTATAAACAGCCATTAAATCAATAATTAGAGTATTTTTTTAAGAGTAGAGGAAGAAATCTCTCAAAAAATAAGTGAAAGCAGTATTTTACAAATAACCTTAGAATTTTTATTAACCTATAGATAATTTCTTAAGCCAGCTTTACCTTGGAATTCATTTCAATTAAGTCCTGGCTGCCACATCCTGGGAAGGCACCCCTGTGTGATTAGCTTACTCATCAGTATTCCTCCTCCTCCTCACATCTCATCCTCTCAATGCAACTCCTGCCCATCTGGGGGCTGTAATGATCATTGGAAACAGGTGTCTTCAGTCTGTAGCTCACAATCTAGCTATTGTGACATAAGCCAATCAGTAGTACCTCCTTCTGTCAGCAGCTTGCACTGTTAGCAATTACGTGGGGGCACATGGATGATATGCATCCATTCTAAGTACCCAATGGGAAATATGTCTAGAACATCTGAACAAAATCACTGCGATAGAAGATACCCCAGAAGACACTTCCTCTTAAAATTATTCAACTTTCACATAGAAATTTTAATTTTTAAAAAATCTCAGCTCCCAAATCAAGGCACATGAGCCAGCCCATGTTTTGTTTGCTTGTTCTAAGCCTTGCACTCCAGAAGATGCTAGTATCCTGTGGGGTCCAAAGTTATAACAAATGTAAAGCCAGACAAACCAACAAGAAAAGCTGGAAATTACTGATGAGTCTTGAAGGAAAGAGAGAGAGAGAGAGAGAGAGAGAGAGAGAGAGAGAGAGAGAGAAGGGCAGTTCATTAGATTGTTTGTTCCCAACCCAAGAAGATGATGCTGGGTCAGGATCTGAGTCTGGAAGCAAAGGCAAGAGAGCAAGGGCTCCTTCAGGCTGCTTGGTCAGCAAACATGTTCTGCCTTTTAAATGGGAGAGTTTAATATGCACTTTTATAAGCAATCTTATAACTGCAGAGCTCATAAATAGCCCAATTGTCACCAAGGAGATATACTTATGCATGAAACTAATAATAGTGAATATTTGAAATGAATCCCCAACTCTATTAACTTCAACTTGACCTCAATCTTGGGAGATTTCAATGGCAAATTCATTTCTTTTTTTCATTCTAAGCTACATAATTACCAGTCAAGATAGCAGTCCTAAGCTTTCAACTAATAATCAATTAAAAACAGTGGTACAATGTCCATACAGAAGGCCAAGAGACATATGAAACAATGCTCAAAGTTACTGATCATCAAATATATGCAAATTAAAACAACAATGACGTATCACCTCACTCCTGTCAGAATGGCTATCATCAACAAACCAACAAATGACAAATGCTGGCGAGGATGTGGAGAAAAGGGAACCCTAATACACTGCTGGTGAGAATAGTGCAGCCACTATAGAAAACAGTATGAAGTTTCCTCAAAAAAATAAAAAATAAAAAAGGAACTGCCATTTGATCCAACGATTCCACTTCTAGGAATATATCCTAAGAAACTCGACACACCAATCAGAAAGAATATATGCACCCTTATGTTCAAAGCAGCACAATTTACAATAGCCAAGATCTGGAAACAGCCCAAATGCCCTTCAATAGACAAGTGGATGAAAAAGCTGTGGTACATGTACATCATGGAATACTAGGCATCAGTAAAAAAGAAGGATCTCTTACCCTTTGAGACAGCATGAAGGAACCTAGAGAGTATTATACTAAGCAAAATAAGCCAGTCAGAGAAAGATAAGTATCACATGATCTTACTCATATGAGAATCTAATGAACATATGGAATCTAATGAACAAAATAAACTGTTGAACAAAATAGATTCAGAGACATAGAAGCATGGAATAGACTGATGAATCTCAGAGGGAAGGCGGGGGTGGCGCAGTTGGGAGAGATTAACTGGGAAATTTACATGCATATATGCATAGTCCATGGACATAGACAATAGTGTGATGAAGGCCTGGGAAGGGTGGGTGCAAGGTGGAGGGGGTCAATAGGAAAAAAAGTAGGGACATCTGTAATACTTTCAACAATAAAGATAAATTAAAAACAAAAACATTGGTACATGCTGTTTCAAGAAGGAAAAGGCAAATTATTATATTCTATATGCTCTATTTGTAGTGGTTTACATGCTAATGGGGATTTTAAAACACTTTTCCCTAGATCAAGAGGTTAATGAATATTAAAAATGTATTTCAGTAAAATCCTTAAAACTTCACAATTAGTCATTATTAGGGAACTGCATTTGTAATATATCACAGAACTCTTTGGAGTTGCCACCATTACAAATTTCATGTAGAAAAAAAAATCCTAAAAGCATTCTGAGAAATTGATCCTGGCATGAGCAATTAATGGTGTGGGATCCTGAAAGCTTCAAGAAACATCACAAACATTGTGTTTCTATAAAGGTGTGATATCTCCAAACCAAACAACTCAACAGGAAAACACCTCAGCTTCACGAACTTAAATTAGGTTCTCTATCTTGTTTCCTAAACTCTGCCATTCAACTTCATGACATTTACAAAAAAATTCTTTCACAGCTACATGATTGGAATGTCCAAAATTATTTACTTAGGAGGAACATCACTTTCTGTCTTTTCACTCTGACTTGGTCAGGTTTATTTCTCTGTCTAAAATGAGCTGACTTTCTTATCGGAACCTATGTGACTATCTGACATTATTTGTATTTTTAGATATACCAAGTGATCAGGGATAAATATATCAGATAAAACCAGGAATGTCAGAACACATATCTGAGTAGATGAAGGGAGTTGCTAAGGGATTCATTTTAAAAGTGGCAATGAACAAGATAAGGGCCATTGAAATAACAGTGTAGACTCTAGAGGATGGTGTTGGGCCACCCAGATCCCCCTTCAGGAATGAGGGACTTATTTTCCCAGCTGCAGGCAGCCCTCACCCATCTCAAACCCCCTCAGTACATAGGAAACCTCATTTAGAAAAGCTCATTTACCAGGCAACATGAAATGAATGATGCAAATAGCTGTGTATTAAACTTTTAGGACAACTTTAATTTTCTAAACACCAGTTCAAGGCATTTAGAAACTATGCTAGGATCAATTGTCAAGTATGGGTTTATTTTCATAACACTCCAAACTAAAGAAATGCACTGAGCATATCCATCCAAAAGTCTCAAGTAGATCACCAGATGTCCATTTGTACAACTACAACAGAAGGATTTTTCAGTAGTTACCAGTGACAGATATAAAATAATACTGCCTTTTTAAGGTGAAGGGATTAAGAACTGCAAATTGGTAGTTACAAAATGGTCACAGGGATATAAAACACAGCCTAGGGAATATACTCAGTAATATTGTAATAACTGTAAGTGCCAGGTGGGTACTTAAAATATCAAGGGGAGCACTTTGTAAAGTATAGATTGTCTAACCACTATGCTGTACACCTGAAACTAACACAAAATAATACTGAATATAAACTGTAATTGAAAAATAAAATTTAAAAAATAGATATCAAAAAATAAATAAAATAATGTTACCTTTTTGTGTGGGGAAAGACAAATGTTACCTTTAGTCAGGAGGGAAAGAAAATATTTTATATATATATATGGACCCGGAGACATAGAAGCATGAATGTCTCCACTATTTCTCCCTCAAATTTTCTCCTATAACCTAAATCAACTTTTTTCTTCTTTTGGAGATACTTGGGTCAGCAACATTTCCTCATAGTAACTGTCCATAGAATGAGGAATGATGCTCTTGCCAAAGATTTATTTCTAAGGATGCTTTTCAAACTTCTTCCTTCTTATGTCTGGATAATGAAGCTCTCTGGTAGGTGGTTCCCAAAAGCCACTCTTTTAACTTATTCCTGAAGAGTAGCCATAAACAGCAGAAATGCCTAATTCTGTTTAAACATCTTTAAACATAATTTCTCCAATCATTCTCTTGTTTCACAAAGTTACATTTCAGAGGAACAAATGTAAATGCACATGTAAATTCTAAGAGGCAGATATGGAATAAAGCAGAGTGGGTGAGATAATTTATTGAAATAGAGATGCTTAAAGAGAATTAGATAAGATTTTGCTCGCTGCATCATTTTTCCATATAAAGCAAACTCAAATGGCCTCCTAAGCGATTTTGATTTTTAGATGTAGTAGGAGCCTCTTACCTTCGTCTTTACAGACTTCAACGGCCTCTTCTGAAGCAGGGCTGTGCACAGTAGCAGCACTGACGCCATCTACAAAGCAGACAAGGGAAACACCGGCTCAGAGTTAATGCTGCCAAGCAGAGCCTCACTCCCAGCATGCCCCCCACCCACCACTGGACCACAGGAATATGAACCTGTTTCATGCTCTCATATACCGAACAGTATTTGAAGTGGTTAGTGGTTTGTGATTCCCTCTTATAATTAATGAAACAGAAACCTTCAGTTAAGACAGAGCCCAATGAACTACAAACTATTTTTTGGCAAATAATGCTGTTTGTTGGTACTATTGTACCTTGGCATTTTGCTTCTTCCCCACCTCTAGTAGAATGGTACACATTTTTCTTAAAACGGATTGTGGAGGAAAGGAGACTCTTGCGAGTTTCCACAAAGTGCTTTCATGTGTGTGCTTTTCAGATTTGGTTTCCTTAGCACAGCACCTCTGCGCCGCAGTGCCAGGCTGTGAACCTGCAGGGAGCACTTTGAAGGCTGGCAGCACAGACCCGGAGAAGGGGATCCCTGGTAGGAAAGCACCACAAGCCACTGGGAATTCCACGTCACCCAAGCGCAGAGTGGGGAGAAGGAACTTGGAGGTCCCTGCGCCCCTTAGAGCAGCAATTAACCTCCTCAGAGTCTATCTGTCTTCTCGGTACATGGGCACCCCAGTGATTTCACTCACATTTGGCTTCCGGGGTAATAGATAATTAACTTACTAACATGAAACTGGTAAATTTAAGACATGAAAGATTATCAAAAGCATTTGAAATGTTTAATGCTTGACGACTGGAAAAGGAATAGTACATATTATTTTCATGCAGTAACCGGGTCTTTAAACGAAAACGTTATACATGCATGGCGACTGACACACATTTAAAGGCAAATCCCATACTTTCTAGCATATGTCTTGTCCATAATGTATATGACTATTACTTTTAGGTCATGTCTCTATTGGAACAGAGATTAAAAATTTTAGTAGGGGGATAATTGGAAATAATGAATCATTTTCTTTTGTTAAGTGACATTTTCCTATTTAATAAAGAAAGAATAAACTATTAACCTTGAGGTCACATCTTCCCACTTCTTTATTTCTTTTCACAGCAAAACTCCCTTAAAAGAGCTGTCTGTAATATACTTCCTCGGTGCACAGACTCTCCACAACCCACTCCAGCTGGCTTCCATGCTGCCCAGGAATTCTCTTACAAAACGTGGCGGCGACCTCCCTTTGCCGAATCCAATGGCTATTCCCCTTAACTTACTTGATTTCTTAGTAGCATTCCTTTACTCTGTTCTTTCTGAAACACTTTCTCGTGGCTGCTCCTCCTCCCCTGTTGCCACATATCTACATGTAACAGTGTCCCAGCGCCCACTGATTTCTTTACTCATGTTCTTTCTAGTGAATCTTATTCAGTCTCATGCTTTTAAATATAATTTATATGCAGGTGACTCTCAAAACCATATCTCTGGCCTAGAGCTCTCCCTAGAAATCCAGACTTCTATGTCTGACTGGGTTTTTTGACATGCCTTTGGGCTAAGAGTTCTCTCAATTTTACCATGGCCAAAACTGAGCTACTTAACTTTCTCAGCAAAAGCTGTGCCCTAAGGCCAATCCTCCACATATTGTATAGGTAAGTGGTACCATCATCCCATAATTAACTAGTGTTAAAAACCTAGGCCTTGTCCGGCTGGCTTTGCTCAGTGGTTGAGCATCGACCTATGAAGCAGGAGGCCACACTTCAATTCCCTGTCAGGGCACATGCCCAGGTTGTGGGTTTGATCTCCAGTGTGGGGCATGCAGGAGGCAGCTGATCAATGATTTTCTTTCATCATTGATGTTTCGATCTCTCTCCCTCTCCCTTCCTCTCTGAAATCAATAAAAAATATTAAAAACAACAACAAACCTAGGACTTTCTTCTTCCCCATTTCCCACCTCCAATCCACCAGCATAACTTGTTACCTTTGTCTCTAGAATGTAACACAAACCAGTCCATTTTTGTCTCCAGTTGCAGAAACCACCATCATTGCTTTCCTATGGTACCTTCTAACTGTTCTCACTTTGGCTCTTTAGATCATTTTAACTCACAGCCAAGGCAAGCTTATTATATACATATATGCATAACCATGGACACATACAATAGTGTGGTGAAGGCCTGTGAGGTGTGCAGGGTAGAGTGGGTCAGTGGGGGGAAGAAAGGGGGACATCTGTAATACTTTAACAGTAAAGATAAATTTTTAAAAAGAAATGGAACAAAAATAAAAAGTAAAATAAAACATAGCTTATGTCTCTCCTCTTCTTAAAAACTCCCACTGGCTTCTCTTTGTAGTTCTAATAAAATCAAATCTCATACAGTCAGAAGTAACCTGGAACCATGACCTCTTACCAGATTTCACACCACATTCCTCCAGTCCACCGTGCTCCAGGCATCCCCCCTTCTTTCAGCAGCATGCCAACCCAAACTGGCCTAGAGGCATTTGCATTACCCATTCCCTCCATTTTAAAGGACTTTCATCATCTCATCACTTAGATCTCATGTTTACTTTTTCAATTTAATTTTAAAATGTATCTTTATTGCTGAAAGTATTACAGATGCCCCCCTTCCCCACCCATTGGTTCCCCTCTCCTCCCCCCTCCCGCTCTCTCCCCAGGCCTTCACAGTATTCCTTCTACATTTCCTCATTTCTCTGCAAGGCATCTGTCACTATCTTACACCTTCTGGTTGTTTATTATTTCTGGACCTCCCCATCAGAATATCAGCGTTGAGCGTTCAGGGATAGTGTCTTTATAGTTTACTGCTGTGTCCCAGTGTCCAGACAGTGCCTGTGAATGACTGAGGAATAGTATCCACAACTTTGATTTGGTCTGATTATGACAACAGTAAGAACGGATGGGTTATGCTAGTTTGAGATTGTGGGATTTTTTTTCTTGATGTGGAAGAGGCCTGCAAAATTGTATAATCAAAATTGAAGTTGGAAATTATATGGAATGAAAAGCAGGTGTTTTTAGTTTGGAAGAATAACAGCAGGTCAAAGGGCTTTAATAACCAGAACCACATCTTCAGTTCCTCTGCACTTGGATTGGGAGGCTATGAAACGAGCAGAGTGGGCATAGCAATGCGTGTTGGCACTGGCCAGGGTCGCAGCTGAACCCTGCCACTAGGGCCCAGGCCAGCCAGCGGCTCATTTGGAAGAGCAAGAGGAGCCCCTCAGGTGTGCATTTAGGAGTGTTTTTTCACACTGAGAGGTTCCCATATTGTGGTAATGACACTATTGATCCAAGAGGTAGCGAAGAGGGATTACATTTTACTTGCCTGCTAACAGGCAAGATGATCCCAAATAAAGAAACTGCCTCTTCTCAACTGCTTAAGGGGGAAATGGTAAATAAATAAAACACAGGTAAATGTGTGTGCACGTATATACGGGTGTGTGTGTGTGTGCGTACGTGTGTGTAAACAGGAATAGGAAAATTCTATGTTGATCAAGACAATCTGAGACGGAGCAGTGAGTGAAAAAACCTGTGAATCCTCAGCATTCAGAGGATGGCCTAAGCTGTCAGCAGTTAGCTGACTAATATTTATCAGCCCAAACAGTCAAAACGGTGACAGCTTTTCACATAAGACTCATCTTCCAGGGAGCATAATGATGTGTGGGTCGGGAGCTGGGTGGGGGCGTGAATAACAACAGCTTGCTGTATCAGAATTCATTTCATTGCAAGCACTGCATCTCAGCAGAGGGAGCCCACTGACCCCGTCGCAGCTGAGCAAGGTCCCTGCTGCCTTGCTTCAGTGCTTTCTCTGATTGGCCTTCCTCAATTCCATCTTCCAGGTCAATAATAAAAGCCTCCAGTTCTCTTGCTAAAGTTCCAAGGTTAATGTAGGAAGTTTCCATTGCAAAACTTATCCCAACACCTGGTTTATTTCCAAGATTTCAGCAGAGGGCCCAGGACGTGCCTGGCACACATTAGATAGAGCCACTATTTCAAAAATGCACCCCCCATCCACCCCAGCACCACGGGCTCATTAAAACTGGGAGAACGACCTGCAAACTAAAGAGAAGAGGGTATTTTAGGCTGGGCGGTTATGTTGATCGCTGCATAATTGTGTCTATTGTTTTTAAAGGAGAGCGCGCCTGAGTACAAAATGGGCCGAAAAGAGATGATACCTTGAAGGTGATCACAATCTCTTTGGAGTCTTTTGAACATTTTTTAAATGTTCAGTTTGTAATCTACAGTCGAAGATCTGTAAACATTCAATTGATACATCTGTTCTGTGGTGAATAGAGGGGAAGTCAAGAAGCCTTCAGATCTCCCTTCAGCTTTGTGTGTGGGGTGGTCAGGCTCAGCGACACCACCTCCCACAACACGCAGAGAAATAACCAGACATGTGGCTCTTCAAAATGTAATGCAAAACAGTAAAGAACACTCCACTCATTGTGGAGGGGAAGGCTCTCATTTAATTCCTTTAAACATTTTTCATTTCTTTCTTTCCCCCGCCCAAATCACATCTGCTCATTTAAACCTGCCCTAAGTCAGCCACGCTCTGACTGGACACTCCAACCTCTGCTCATCCCTCTTCGATCTCTGCTAAGCAAGCTGTAATTACATGGAAGAAAAATGGAATCGGCGAATGAGACATGACAATGTCCCCTTCTGAGAGGAAGCCCTGTGACTCCGAGTTAATAGAGTTGGTGGCTTCCTGGGGGAGACCTGAATGAAAGTGAAGTTAACCTGTAAAAAGTAGAAGCATTTTCAGAAAACAGTACTGAGTAAAGTCATTGTTCACCTCTGTGGATGAGGCCTAGGAGACTCTTCAAAAGAAATCTGAGCCCACCTGCTTCTTGGCTCGGCCCTTCCATTTCTTCCACGCTTGGCTTTTCCTCTGGACCGTTCTCATCTTTCAAGAAAACCACAGAGGGAAAACATTACATCAAGTCAATTTATAAAATATCTCTTTATGGCTAATATGCAGCACTGAAATTAATTGTAACCAATGTAGCATGACTCCCCATAAAGCAAGGCAGAGAGATGAATCAGAGGTATGAAACAGAAAAATTACCTACATAAAAAGGTGCATTTATACTCCTCCCTTCCACACGATTTGCTTGATGAAATGTTGAACTGCAGTAAACAAAATTCACTCAGCAGTTCTAGTAACATCTCTCTCCTCGCACAGCATTTCCCAAAATGCAATACAGATTTTAAATCCAATCTTTTCTCCCTTGACTCAAGCAATATACACTGTGTAAGAAAACTTGGTTAAGTTTCTATGCCCTTTATTTTCCTGTTTGAAATATATTGTAAAAATATCTATTTTTATTTAACATATACATCAAAGCCTAACATATCTACACTATGAAATATTTCATCTTGAACAAATTATGATGGTCCGGTTTATGCTATCACACATAAATCCTTGAAAAATAAATAACTGGGCAGCTGCAATGGTGGCTATCCACTAGAAACTAACATTTTCTTTAAGCTTAAAATATATATTTCTCTGAATTTATGTGTAGAAAAACAAACTTTTCAAAGGCAAATAAAGGCATATTTTATAACTCATTACTGGGAGGCTTTCCAAGTCTCTTTTAGTTTGGAAAATTTTTTTAATGATAAATTTATATAAAGACACAGAAACAAAATATAAAACATGTAGTTAAAGTACAGAAAACAGAGACGCAGACACTACCAGCATACATTACTGTATCCTTTGTCTATCAGGAAGTGGAATCTCTCTCCCCTTTCCTTGGATCTGGACTGGTGCTGTAACTTGTTTAGACCAATGAAACATGGAGGTGATGTAGGCCCTCTGAGCGAAGGGCACTGAGAGCTAGTAGCATCCACACTCTCCCTCTGGGAAGCCAGCTGTCATGCTGTAAAGACACGCGGGCTAACCTACCAAATAGAGAGTGAAGGGCCACACGGCAGAGCACCAAGGGGCCAGACCTGTGAGTGAAGCCTTCTTATAGCCTCTAACCCAGCCCAGCTGCCAGCTGAATGCAGCTGAACAAGGGCCTCAGCCAAAAACACAAGGAGCAGAAGAATCACCCAGCTGAGCCCCGTTAAAATTCCTGACCAGCAACCAGGCCCAGATCACTTAACCTTGTTTTGTTGGAGTGCTGTGACCCACCATCTGCTATTACTATTAACTCTTCATCCAGAGGCAAGAGGTGGTGAATTTTCCCCAGAAATCTCAACTAGCAGAGCTAAAACAAGAGCCTCAGAGAAGCAATGGGAAACATTTCCCCAAGCCACACTATAAAATAACCTAGTGAAGAGAGTTGCAGATGGGAAAACATTCAGAATTGACCTCGATGAAAGAAAAAGTTTATAATGGAATGACAAAAGTAAATGTATAGAAAGAGTGACACTCGGTGGGGAAGAAATGCTATCATTGGATGCGTGAGTATGGATAGAATTACCTCTGCCTTGCATTGGGGGACAACTTAGGGGACACCGTCTAACTTTTAATATGAGGACCTGGGGCAGCTCTGTAGCCACCTAAATCCAATGTTCTCCATTGCGTTTTTACAATGACCACGTGATGATCTGACATTTTCTCTCTGGCTCTCTGAGTGGGCTACGGCATTGGCTTTTGTTCTGGGAAGGAAACAGCCATCCCAGCTGCTCTTGCTCCCTTAATGAGGCAAGTTAGTGCAGGAGCACGTGTCAAAAACATAGGTCAGTATGTCCCCTCTTCCTCTCATCAAACAGGCTCAGAGTCAAACAGGAAAAATCTGCCAACTTATCTGTCTCACCCAACAGACGGACCTTTTAACACGAATTTCACCATAGGCTTGAAGTTTACAGTGACAGGTTGCCTTTAAAATTAGTCTAGTTACCACATCTCCTAAGGAGTGGGGGTTAAAACACTTTCTTGTGAAGAGAGGAAGGGAAAGAGAACAATTAAGTCATAGGAAAGTGAGAAATTGGTTCCAGCAGTTCTAAATGCATGAAAAGGAAATTCATGGGCAGACCCCCGAGTCAATACAAACCAGTTTGGCTGTCTTCCTAGTCTACTGTTACTGAGTTTTTACCTTTATCCTCCATGCCCTCCCATTCCCTCATGCAGTCACCGAGTGGCATGCTTTTGTTTTCCACTTTGAGTCTTGGCCAAACAGTGTTCTGGTTACAGCATTTCTGCCTTTGGGCAGAAAACTCAAGAGACACTTTGCATGTTTATCAGGGAGAACATGCATCCTAGAAGAATGCTGGATTTGTCATTGGAGTCACATGCCCTCAAATGAAAAGGGCCACCAATTTGCAAAGACATGCACCTGCAAATCCAGCAGGGGGACCCAGTGTAGAAGTCTTGCTTTCAAAACCCAGTTGATGCATTTTTGGGCAATTAGATTAGCATTCATTTCACTCTTTTAAAAGGACAGTTTGGCTGCCTTATAACTTTCCATCCATTTTAAATGCCTCAAATGGGTGAGTTTTTAGTGAAACAGTGGGTTTCTACTGGTAGGAAAAAAAATATCTCATTACACGTTTACCCATAAGGATTTTATAAGGACAAGCTTTCTTTTATCAGCCTTGTCTGTCTAGTTATCTTCACAGGAAGCACATAAACAATAAAGTTGAGTGGAGTGGGGAATCTAAATGTTTGGTTTTTAGAAGGGTTTAAAAGGCATATAATAGCCCTGGCTGGTTTGGCTCCGTGGATAGAGCGCCAGCTTATGGACTGAAAGGTCTCAGGTTTGATTCTGGTCAAGGGTATATGCCTGGGTTGTGGGCTCGATCCCCAGTAGGGGTGCAGGAGGCAGCCAATCAATGATTCTCTCTCATCATTGATGTTTCTATCTCTCTCCCTTCCTCTCTGAAATTAAAAAAAAGGCGTATAATAAACGTGAAGAAATACAGGAAAGTAACATACTATTTTGTTAGCTAAAAAAAAGTCCTAGAAGAGCTGAGTTCTCTGTTAATACACCAAAAGGTGATTATTTACTTCAGAACATAAATTTCCACAGCATTGATGTGTCACATGATGCTTTATTTTCCTATGCTCAAGACCACAGTGACCTGTGAGAATTCTAGGGGTGGCATTATTTTTGTTTCTCCAATATTAATACACTGCTTCTCACTGTTTCAACACATATATATTGAGCATATACTATATGTGAGATATATCAGAAATTTTATAAAAATAAAAATGAGAGACTTCTGCTGTAAAGTGAATTCATGTAAGTGGAAGGAATGTACTACTGGTTAGAAGATGATAAGTATGCAGTCCATGTGTCATTCCATATAGAAAAGTTTTGCAAGGGCAAAATCTCAATGTCATGGCCACAAATTACTTTCCTGATATCTGTAGTTCCTTTTGTGAACTGTGCGTGGGATGGAAAGTAAATCAGAGCAAATCCATCCTTACAGCTGTGGCAACAACCTGCTGCCTGCTGCTTGCTGCCTGCTGGTGCACTGTTGCCATTTCTTACAAAACTCCCGAGATTTCTGGACATGGACAGAGCACAGGCCATTCAAACACTGTGGATTGCAAATTGGATTATAGACTCCAATTCTTCAGTCTCCTGCAATGTATTATACATCTCAGTGTCCTCCCACTGTAGGCAGAGAATACTTCCCACTCCAATGATGTTGGACTTGACCCCAGGTGACTTGATTTGACTAATGAAATATTAGTGGACACGATGTGAGCAAGGGGCTTAAATGTGCTGCATAATTGAACTTGGTGCTTGTGCTTCTGACGCTTGCTGTGATAAGAAATGCCCTTTAGCACTGGTTTAAAGAAGAGGAGAGATATTATGGCGCAGATTTCAACCCGAGCCACAGTTTGGAGTTAAGCCCAGACAACTCACACCTTGAAAATGTGCTGCCCAACAGAGCACTACCTACATCAACTGAGCATAGCCAACCTGCACCACCTGTGATCATGAGAATAGATATTTTTGTTGTAAGGCACTGCATTTTGGGGTGATTTGTCACAGTATCATTGTAAAATAGCTGATTAATACAAATACTATAATATTATTTTTTCTCAAGTCAGGAGGGCTCAAAGATTTTTTTAATTAGCACTTTTTATTTATAAAAATTTAGTCGTTAATTTTGTATTTTGACAACCAGCTACATTTTCATCTGTCATATTTTAAAACTCTCTAGAGGATACACGCTTGAAAACTAAATGTACCTTATGTAAGGGGGGCATGCTGTCAAAGAGGATGTACTGCCAACTGTGATGTTTATATTTTATTTAATAGAGCCATGTAGGCAGCAAGATACTAGCTAACACTAGCTAACATTTATTGAATATTAGTTATGTTCTACTCAGTGTCTTCATGCTTTGAAAAGATTATCAAATTTAATTCTGAGAACAACTCAATGAGGTTGACATTATTATTATCCACGTTTCATGAATCTGGACACTGAAGTGCAGCGATGTTAAGGAATGTGCCTAAGGGCCCACAGCTAGCAAGTGCTGGCAGCTGGATTTCAACTCAACCAGCTGATGCCAGCGCCCAATATTGCTTCCTTGGAAAAGTAACTAATATTTGTGTCTGGGTAAGGTATTTTCATTATTGGTCAGCAAAAATGTGGGAAAATGATAATATGAAAATAGCAGAAGAACTACACTATAGTCTCATATAGATTAACACAGAACACTGAGAATATGGAGAATTGAGCTCTTCTGAAACTTAAACCAAGTAGGTGCAATGCTGTAACTCCAGAATTATTTCTTTAATGCTAAAGGTATTTTTATTTGGGCATAATTTTAAACAACAGAAAGTTATAAGAAACTTTGTTTTCCTGAACCATTTGAGAGCAAATTTGGGACATAATCACCCCCTAATCACCCCCATCAGCCTTGAATACTTTAGTATATTTTCTACAAACAAGGACATTCTCTTCCATAACTATGGTGCAAACAAGTTTGAACAATTT